TTAAGATCCTATTTCTTTCAGTCAAAAGATTTTTCTTAAAACTTTGCTTTTGCATTACTCTTACAATATTAACATAGCCAGACATGGGCTGGTCTGTGACCTGAGGAAATGCAAAGCACTTTGGCAGATAAACAAATAACATCATTCAGAAAACAAGGAGGCTTTTCTTGTTTGGTCTGCTGCTACGATTGGGTTTCTAAACAAAATGGAAATTTGTGGCAGGATTAAAAGCATTGGTTCACCTCTGCAAAAACAAAATTCATTCATTCTGCACTCCATCGATCAGTACTAGTTACATTTGAGAGAGGGGGTTAAAGGCACATATTATCACACAGAATAGCATATGTATAAAACCCTCCACACGCAAAAAAAGAGCAAACTAGTGCCAGTAGTGTTGCCTATCAGCCATCCCATCACGCACCTAAACGTGGAGCTTCAGCGACTCTATGGCAATTGAGACCACACATCAGGCATATGAAAGAGGATAATTTTTTTCCTGAACTATTTTAAAATCTCTGGTGTTCTTACAAAGTGATATCTCAGCTCCAAATATACGAGCACTTAAATAGGAAGTCTGAAATTGAGTCCCTGTGCTGGTATTCAGATGAACCAAACTGCTGCATCTGCACAGCCTGCATAGCCTCTGGCTGTGGGGATTTAAAAACACAAGATCATCTTTACTGTGCTGTATAAATAGCAAATCCCTTTGCAAAAGGGACGCTGGCAACATTGCTAAGTTCTGTTATTAAACAACTGAAGAGTAAACTGGCAATGGGAGGCAGTGAGGGGTAAATTTTTTGAAGATTTTGCAGGTAGAGTCACCAATAGATGCAACGTTATGTATGCAGAAAAGGAATTGGGGAGAGCTTTGAAACACAGACCTTTGGACCTTGGACAAATTTACTCAAGTGTAAATATCACTGTATCTCACATAGAATAATATTAGCAGCATGAGGTGGGAGGATTCCCAGTGCGTGGGTGCAAGTGTCACCAGCGTGCTCCATCTGCTTCACCTCAGTTCCTACTAAGCGTCACAAGCTGCTGCATTTGCCTTTTCAAAAGTCGTATTTCAGAGCTAAATTTTCCTTAGGGTTTCCAGCTTGGGGATTGCACAGCAAAGCAACAGACGCAGCCGTGTGCGGGGCTCTGCAAGACTAATGCTGGAATACCTGCAAATCCT